TTGCCCGAGAACATAACACCTCCCTAGAATATACAGATGACCAAAGGGATTGGTTTTGTTTGCCTGTTTGCTAGTTTATTTAGATTACAGCGATTTAGGGGACAGGCAAGAATTTCGACAATGAAGGACTTCATAGTCAGGGCGAAGTATAGGAACCCACAAACGTATGGGAAGCCGCAAAATGAGAGCTTACGTTTCAGTTCAGAGGAACGACGTAAACTTTAGGAAGAGTAGCAGTGGAGATGTACAGGCTCGAGCACTTTTCCTAACAAGATGTCTGACTACAAAGGAGCATCAGTGATATTCACGGACATACCAAAGGTGATTACTTCTTTAATATGGCCTTGTCAGTAGCGGTAGGACAAATCCCATACCTAAATTGAGCTAGGTGAAATTCAGATTTTCGAACATCCAAACGCAAGTTTCACAGAAACCTAAATTTAAAACCCTGTGGAGTATTTGTCTGTACACAGTAGCCACACTTCGCTGCATCCCCTGATGCTATTGTAACTTGTGCCTGTTGGAGTGATGGGCCATTAGAGGTAACAAAAAAACCTTTTAAGTGCAGACACATGACCATTAAAAATCATCCTCAACAAAAAGACTGCTTGAGGTTCAATCAGATGGGACTGTACCTTTAAAAGTATACCCACCCTTATTACACAAAGGTACAGCTCCAAATGCTTTCAACTGAATCAAATGTTGGATCCTTTCATGCGAAAAGAGCTTGTCTTGAACACAACTTGCATCGCTAGCAAGTTTCTATGAATACTGATTTACTTGAAGAAACATTGACAAGGGTAGATATCTTTTTAAACAGGTTGATGTTATAGAGCTATTGGCTGGTAACACAAAAAAGAGCATGAAAGATACTACCACGTGTACTTCCTAGACAAGTGCCAGTGATGATGACATATATGCATACAGAAAAGTGAATAAAGTTCTTGCTATCAAGTGTATGGTTTCCAGTGTCGAGAAGAGCCTAAAGAATTTAATGAAAAGAATATTGCATGTGACAGGAGCAACAAACGGTTTCACTAACAATGTGTGCATGTAACAAAAAAGGAATGGTTTATACTGGATGAATTAACCCTATCTTGCCTACAAATCGTACAAACTGGGGCCCGCATAACAAAATTAGCTTAAAAAAATACAATACAAAATATTAACATAGCTCCTTGCCATGAAAGGAAAAAATTTTCTTGCACATCAGATACACATGCTTGGGTAACTTGTTATCACGAATGCTTTGCTCAGCAGTTGTCATGCGGTTACACTGGCCCTTCAATGGCTACATCAATTTTTGTCGTTTTAGCTCATTTTCATCTTCTTTTTCGCTTTTTCTGATATGGTGCAAGCCTACGTGTAGCCGCACCCTCCCCTGAAAAAGGGAAAAATGGAGAGGGGAAACGTCTACAAAAGGCTGGCATGAATTGTGTTATGTGACGTCAATCCTTTTGCAAGAAAATATATAGCAGTTTTTCATTGGCTGCCCATTCGATCATTTCTTTCATTGGCACTTAAATGTGAGACACACAAGCACATGGCAAAATGGTGCCGACATTGCTTACTTCGCAATTGAAAGAAACGTACCCAAGCTGCTTTGAAACAAGTTTGCCGAACATTCTGCTTTCCAGAACTGCACGAAGAGCAACCAGAAGCTATTGGGGGGAGGATGTCTTGAAATCTCTTCTGACTGGATATTGCATATAGGTTATATTTCAGGCAATACCCGTGAACACATCACTTGTTTCGAAAAACCTTATTCCATGTTCATGGTATCACCACTTCAGGCACTGATGGAAGATCAGGTGCAGTATCTCGACAGCCTGCAAAGGTCTTATCAGAATCAAATCAGAAACCACGAGTTATCAATGATCAGAACATGTGGACAGATTGTTACCACAAAAAAAAGAACGTTAACAAAGTTTCTAGGTGTTGATAAACACATGATACCTGGTGATCCAATACGAGGAAACAACGATATTTGCAATAATAATTATTTGGTTTTATATGACGTGGTTTCAGACGTTGAATCTGACGTATTAGACAAAACAGACAGAACAGGATATTTGTGTGTACGACAAAGGTGTGTTGAATTAAGCAAATCAGCATTTTGTGTACAACAAATTGATGCTTCGAAGGAAATAAAATATAGAATAGAAAACAGGTCTCGTTATGTGATGTTTATTAATTATAACAATCACAGTTGTTTCAAATGTAAGTACCATGAATAGAAACGAGTACACTGTGAACCCAGCAGAATACCTATAAAAAACTAGAGAGGTTATCACGAACAAAGCAAAAAGTGAGAAAAATAATATGGCAGCGTCTTCTTCAAAACATTCCTATGTCGTCAAAAATGTATCGCTGCATCAAATGCAGTCTTAGAGCACCAAAAATGAGAAAGAAATGGTATTCTACACGGTCATCACTGCATCAAAAATCAGCGAGTTTTACAGACTATTTGGGCAATTATGTACCTTTATATAGCTGTAATACAAGTAGAGATAGACATCGAAAGAAATACCTCAAATACCCAAGGATGTTTTCGTGCAATTTCCCACACAGTAAGTACAAGAATAAAAATCATAAAAGCAATTGTCTGAACTACAAACTATCTAATGACATAGAAAAAAACGCTGGTCCTTTTATGTTTAATATCGATCCCAGTAAAACAATAGAAGCACCATATAGTCAAGGAGATGCCATTGACGGACAAAATCGCTTCACTGAAAAGCCATGGCTCAAAATGTCATTCCAAAGAACATTCTGATAGAAAACATCATTCCCAAAAAAGCCTGCCAAAAATAATCGTAGCAAAAACAGTCATGCGAAAGACATCATGGAACAAAACGTGCATAAAAATGTGTTTTTGAAAAATTTGTGCCAAAAAAACATGACTGAAAAACTTGTGTGAAAAAAATTCATGCCACAAAGGTCATACCGGAAAAAAAATCATGCCAAAAAGGTCGTAAAAGGAAATTAAAGTCGTACGTAAAAGAAAATGACATGGTCAAAAAGAAATTTGATAAATATTCATCATGCCATTTCGTACTTCAGGTGTCACCGCAAACATGTCATAAATTCTCCCTCTAAATCTTCAGAAAATGTCAAAACGCGTCAAAAACACTCCGAAAAAAGGTATTTTTCTTAGATATTGAAATTATTGATAAACATAATTATTCATAATACGAAGAAACTTAATTTTTTCAGATATGAACCCTTTGTGTTTTACAAACAAAGAGGTGCCAATTAACATCACCGATATGTTCACCTCCACTAAGTAGTTCAAGATCCACCAAACCTGTAAGTGCCCCCAGGCACGAGATTCGGAGGTTGAGTTGATTTATTTTTTTATGTTCTCTTTTGTCACACAAGTGCCTTGACTAGTCAAGTGTTAATAATTATCTTGCACGTGATTAAGTTGTTTCGTAATACATCTAAAAGCACCCGAGAAGATCATTTAGTACATTTTGAAGAAAGAAAGAAGGGCGCCCATTTATTGAAATTCACGAAGCCGCCAACAATCTAAGTTCGCCTTTAAGTCCGCTTTTTAGTTCGCCTTTTTGATACGTCTGTTTTTGGCTATTTGTCTTCTTTAATTCTGTAAATTTCGTTTTCAGTTTCACGATACAATACCATGAAGTAAACAAGATTTCCAGAACAAGCCTGTCCAAGATTTTTTGTAGTATCTGTGAATCTTGCGCGGTTTTAAGCGGCAGACAAGTGCCGCTACAGTGAAAATTACGGTGAAGAATCGAAAGTTAGAGTCGCTTGCGAAGAATGGAACAAAGGGATGGTATGACGTAAGATCGAGAAAGAACCACCACGGAAAAGGGAGAATTTCTTCGCTTGCAAAGACTCGAAGATGAAAGAAAGGTGGCAGGGGCTGCTCTGAGGAAACAAATCACGAACGTGAACTCTTTATTTGAACAGCATCAAGAAACAGATGTTATGCCCTTAGAACGAGAGTGTGACATTTTAGATTTGCACAGAGAAAGAATGGATGAAGCTCAGCAAATGTATTTTAACGAGCCACGCGATTCAAAGGAGTTAGATCAAGCATTGCAGTGGTTTGACACTCGAGATAGAGAGTATTTTCAATGCGAACAAGAATAAATGAGGTATTACAATGTGCAGAAAAGCAAATTAGTGATCGGATGTCTCTGGTTTCTTCAAGGCGTTCGTCATCTTCGATAAGATCAAAGAGAGCGAAAGTGGCTGCCCAAGCAGCATGTCTCAAAGTCAAAATGGATTTTCTGGAAAGAGAAGCGCAGTATAAGAGGCTTGTAATGCTAAAGGAAATAGCTAAGGCAAAGGCAGAAGAAGAGGCTATGCGTAAAATCGAAGGAGAAGAAGAAAATTTGTCCACGGTCTTGAAATCCAAAACCTTAATTCAAGATGTTAAGCAAAATCCGGCGCTTAAAATAGAACCTGTAGAATCGAACACACTTAGGTATGAAGACAACCAAAATCCAGGAGCTCCAACTTTCGTGCCCTTGAGAAAACTGGATACCAGGCAAAGCAAAGGTGGCAACGCTGTTCAATCGCCTTCAGTTGAGAATACAGGGGCAGAACCACCCATCAAGACAGAAGAGTTAAGTTCTGTGGTAAAGCTGATAACCGAACAACAGCAAATGAGTTTGCTCCCTGTACAGCAGCCCCCAATTTTCTCTGGAAAGTGCTTCGATTATGCGGCATTCATCAACGCCTTTGAAAGCCTAATAGAGTGTTGAATCACCGATCCAAAGCAGAGGCTGTCTCACCTAAACCAGTACACAGCTGGAGATGCGAAAGAATCAATTAAAGGTCTCATCACTCTCGACTCTACAAATTCTTATGAGAAGGCAAGAAAGGTGCTAAAAGAAAGATTTGGACACCCTTATCGTGTAGCACAGGCTTATAAGGAGAAGATTAATTCGTGGCCAGCCATAAGGAAAGGTGATGGTGCACGCCTACAGCAGTTTTCAGATTTCCTGGTTCTTTGTGAACAAGCAATGAAGACCCTTCAGTACATGGAAGGCCTTAACTCTGAAGATACTCTGCGGAAGGTAACCTCAAAGCTGCCTTGTACCGTTGGAATAAGATGGTGTTGCCTTGCCAACAAGATGTTAAGATACGAGGAGAGGCTTGCTTCCTTTCATGACGTGGTTGATTTTGTCAAGGACGAGGCAGCATTGGCTACAGACCCTGTTTTCTTACCCGACGCCCTTAAGGAAGCAAGAAAGAATGAGTCTGCAAGTAACAGCAATAGCAACGTCAGGAACACAATGTGGAGAAACAACAGGAAAGGAGGAAACAAGAGCGCAACTAGCTTCTCTACAAATGCCACACCTCAAGGCCAGAAATCCCCACCTCGATTTCCAGTTACAATCATGATTTAGATAACTGTCCAAATCTCGCGAAGAAGGCCATTGAAGAAAGAAGATTATTCGTACAAGAAGCTAGACTGTGCTTTGGTTGTCTTTGCCTTGGGCATGTCTCTAAACGATGCAGAAACAGAAAGGTGTGCAAGTCGTGCATTATGCCACATCCAACGGTCCTTCGTGATGAAACAAAGAGCACCCTTAAGGTTAATGAAGGTTCAGCAAGTAAAGAAGTTGCCAGAGTTGCTCAGCCAGAAGAAGCCACAAGCAGCTGCACAAGTACCTGCAATGCAACTAGAGCCATCGACGCTATCACAAACTCAGTGATTGTCCCCGTCCGTGTACATCATAGAACCAATCCCGAACGGCAGGTAGTGGTCTATGCCTTACTTGATCCCGGTAGTAATGGCACATTCATCAAGGAAAGCATACTTGAAGACCTTCAAGTCGATGGCACAGAAACCCAACTGCAGCTGAACACGATGCATGCGTCAGAAGTAGTTCCCACTCGAAGAATTACTGGTTTGAATGTAGAAAGTATGGGCAAGGACGCCCGTGTGGAACTGCCCAAAACATATACAAGAGATGACATACCGTCGAAGAGAGAAGAAATCCCACGAACAGAAACTGCAAAAGTGTGGCCCCACCTAAGTGGCATAGCCAGTAAGCTTTATCTATACCAAGTAGATGTCGAAGTAGGGCTTCTCATTGGATCAAATTGCCCAAGCGCCATCAAACCAGAGGAAGTTATCCCTTGGAGAAGCAGTGATCCTTATGCCATTCTAACACTTCTTGGCTGGGGTATTATAGGCCCAGTCAAAGGAGGTTCTAACAAGGAAAATTCAGATGTCCTGTGCCACAGAGTTGCTGTTAAGAAGATCGGTAGCAAGGAACCATCATCCCATAGCTTCGTTATTGAATCTTACACAAAGGAGATTATCTCGCCTGTAGCTGTCAAGAGAATGTTCTAGTTGGAGTTCAACGAAGTTAAGGACGCAACTGGACAGTCCCTCTCAATGGACGACCAAAGGTTTATCGCAAAGGTCACAGAAGGAATTCATCACCACCCAGATGGTCACTATGAGCTACCACTGCCGCTTCGAGATGAATCCTTGGCCCTCCCCAACAACAAGAAGCTGGCATTTCATCGCCCTCAACACCTCAAGCTAAGATTTGGTCGAGAGGAGAAGTACAAGAAAGAATACACAGCGTTCATGAACGACATGATAAAGAAGGGATACGCTGAGAAGATATCGTCACTCGAGGAAACAAGACAAGATGGAAGGATATGGTACCTCCCGCAACATAGAGTCTACCACCCTCAAAAACGAGACAAGATCCGTTCCATTTTTTGACTGCTCTGCAGAGTACGAGGGTGAAGCTCTCAACAAGCATCTTCTTCAAGGCCCAGACCTCACTAACAAGTTGGTGGGAGTACTATCAAGGTTCAGACAGGAACACATTGCGTTCATGGCAGACACTGAAGCAATGTTTCTGCAAGTTCACGTCACTGAATGTTATCGGGACCTGCTGCGCCTCCTGTGGTGGGAGAACAGGCAACCTAGATCAGCAGCCCTTAACATACAGGATGACAGTTCACCTTTTCGGGGCAGGGTTGTCACCTGGTTGTTGTAATTTTGCCTTGAAGAAGACGGCTGAAGACTATGAGAAGGAATTAGGTTCAGAACCAGTGGAGTTTCTAAGAAGATTTTTATGTCGATGATAGCCTTAAATCTGTAGCCACTGCCAGGGATGCAAAGAAACTAATCAGCAAGACTAAAGAGATGTGTCACCATGCAGGATTCAACCTTCACAAATTTACAAGCAACAAGCGAGAAGTTATCGAGGCCATACCAACAGAAGATCGTGCCAAGGGCATTAAGGAGTTAAATCTAGTGAAGGACGAGTTTCCAATAGAAAGGGCGCTGGGCATCAGTTGGTGTATTGAGTCAGACTGCTTCAAGTTCCATATTGTAGTGCAGGATCGCCCGTTGGCTTGGCGAGGAATCCTTTCCACAGTCAGCACCGTTTATGATCCATTAGGCTTCTTGGCACCTCTACTCCTGGTAGGGAAACGGCTTCTCCAAGAGCTCTGCAAAGGCAAAGTGGATTGGGACGATCCTATCCCCGAGAATGTTAGGGAATGCTGGCTGAGATGGAGAGAGGAACTACACCTTTTGGAGAATCTGGCACTTCCCAGATGCTTTAAACCGGAAGATTTTGGAACTGTAAGATCTGCCCAGCTGCACCACTTCTCCGACGCGAGCACAAATGGCTATGGTCAGTGTTCTTACATTCACTTAGAGAACGACAAAGGCAAGATCCCCTGTTCGCTGGTCCTTGGCAAGGCAAGGGTAGCCTCCTTAAAGATGGTCACCATACCACGTCTAGAACTCACCGCAGCAGTGGTGTCAGTCAGAGTTAGTGAGATGCTTCGTCAAGAGCTCCAGTACGAAGGCGTGCAAGAGATCTTCTGGATGGATAGTAAAGTAGTTTTAGGCTACATAAAGAATGACTCAAAAGAGATTTCATTTATTTGTAGCTAACCGCATCCAGCAAATTAGAGATCAGACCTCGCTCAGCCAGTGGAGACACGTTGAAACAAAGTCTAATCTAGCCGACAATGCGTCACGTGGTATCACTGTCAAAGAGCTCGTAGAAAGTTCAAGGTGAATCTTGGGGCCGAAATTCCTTTGGAAGCCGAAGGTCTGTGGCCGCAACCATCAGAAGACCAAGATCTCATCAACCTACCAGCAGGAGATCCGGAGGTGAAGAAAATGACAATGCATGCAATACATATGCAAGAGCTATGGAAGCTCTCTGAAAGTTTAAGTTCTTTCTCAGACTGGCACAGAGCTCGTAAAGCAGTAACCCTTTGTCTGCGCTTCTAACAAAGGCTCTGGCAGTTACTGAACTCCCAGACACAGCCTGGCAAAACAGTCAAACGTCCAAAGGAAAGCTACACACCTATCCTCACTGTAGAAGAGATTAAGTCTGGTGAGAAGGAGATATTCAAAGCAGTCCAAGCGATGGCATTCCATGAAGACATAAGTACCCTTAAGTCACTTCAAGCCAAGGTAGAAGGTGAAGAAAGATCCACTGCACGACAGAAGAAAACTGCCATGAGAAAGACAAGTTCATTACACTGCCTTGACCCCTTTCAAGACAAGGATGGCGTATTACAGGTCGGTGGTCGAATCAAGCGAGGGAGCTTCATGGAAGAAATCAAATTCCCTGTAATCATCCCAAGAAAAGGCCATGTCACTTACCTGATTATCAAGCATTTCCACGAGAAGGTCCAACATCAGGGTCGCGGTATGTCATTAAACGAGATCAGATCCAACAGGTTTTGGGTGATTGGTGGAACCTTTGCTGTAGCGTACGTGATTTCGAAATGTGTCACCAGCCAAAAACTAAGAGGTGCAGCCCAAGAGCAGAAGATGTCTGACCTCCCGGTGGATCGCCTGGAATCATCACCCCCCTTCACTTACTGTGCCGTTGATTACTGTGGGCCATGGCATGTAAAGGAAGGACGCAAGGAAGTAAAGAAGTACATTGCCCTTTTTACATGCATGGCGTCCAAGGCAGTGCACCTAGAAGTTTCGAATTCCTTGGAAACTGACTCACGTCGTTTCATCTGCCAAAGGAGACCTGTACGACAACTGCACAGTGATCAAGGGACGAATTTCATTGGGGCGAAGAGAGAACTCCGAGAAGCCCTACAAGTTATGGATCAATGCAAGATCAGTAGTGAGATGCTCAAAGAGGATTGTGACTGGTAAGATGAACCGTCCATCAGCAAGCCACGCAGGGGGAGTATGGGAAGAGCAAATACGGACCGTTCGCAGTGTGCTGACAGCCCTTCTAGATGGCAATGCAGGAGTCCTAGATGGGAAAACCTTTCAAACGTAGATCTGCGAGGCAGAAGCCATTGTTAACAGCCGTCTGCTAACTCTGGACAACCTCAGCGACCCAGACTCACTAGCTCCATTGATGCCAAATCACATTTTAACCATGAAAACATGGCCAGTTTTACCACCACCTGGCGTCTTTCAAAGAGAAGATCAGTGTTCGAGGAAATGATGGAGACGAGTCCAGCACCTCGCGTGCCAGTTCTGGGACCGTCGGAGAAAGGAGTTCTTACAAAACCTCCAAGGAAGATCCAAGTGGACTTCTCCCCGCCGCAACCTTCAGATTGGCAATGTGGTGATTGTTAAGGACGAGCACAAGCCAAGGAATCGCTGAAGCCTGGCTCCAGTGGTAGGAACGTATCCCAGCAAGGATGGTTTGGTTAGAAGCATTAAGGTTCGTATTGGCCATCCCAACCTCTCTGGCGATGGGAACAGGCTGCATCCCCCGAAAGAACTGGAAAGGCCAATTCACAAGTTGGCGTTGCTTCTGCCACAGAAAGAGAGACCAGGATTCCCAGACGGGGAGCCATCAAGGCAAAAGTAGATCTAGATTACTAGTTTTTGAACATTGAACTTATTGATATAGTCTGGTGATTTTAATTTGAAATTCGGTGATTTCAAGGAGAGCCATGTAAGTGCCCCCAGGCACAAGAATCAGAGGTTGAGTTGATTTATTTTGTTATGTTCTTTTTTGTCACGCAAGTGCCTTGACTAGTCAAGTGTTAATAATTATCTCGCACATGATTAAGTTGTTTCATAATACATCTAAAAGCACTTGTGAAGATCGTTTAGTACATTTTGAAGAAAGAAAGAAGGGTGTCCATTTATTGATATTCATGAAGCCGCCAATAATGCAAGTTTGCTTCTTAGTTCGCCTTTTTGATATGTTTGTTTTTGGCTGTTTGCCTTCTTTAATTCTGTAAATTTCGTTTTCAGTTTCACGATACAATACAATGAAGTAAACAAGATTTCCACAACAAGCCTGTCTAAGATTTTTTGTAGTATCCATGAATCTTGCGCGGTTTTAAGTGGCAAACAAGTGCCGCTGCAGAACCAACTGAAACAACAGTGCCAAGACCACGTTCAACTGCTTCTCTGAAAAATCTTTCAACTCAACTCCATAAAGATCCAGTCATCGCTGGTTATCTTCATAATGTCAGCCCAGTAAACAAAGTGCTAAAGGATCCGAATACTTTTCATTTACAATCCAAGAGAAAGTAAAGAAAATAGAAGCTTTCTGCTTTTCACCAAAGAAACATAAAGGCAATGTCGTAAGCAGAGTCGAAAGTGGACTACCATGCAAACTCACAACGTTTTCTTTCCACAAAACAGAAGACAATGTAAATTGGGTGAACACAGCCACACAAATCAACGATGCCTTAGAAGCAACAGCTGATTTTTGTCGCGAAGCCAATGATAACAAAACAAAAATGGCGAACACAAAGGATGTTGACAATATTCAAGTTTATCAAGGTATCACAGTTCATGGCATGGTTCTTTTTGGAGATAACAAGGCAGAACCTGTCCCTAACAAAACTGATCTTATCAAAAAGGAAGGATCCTTTGTGCACGAATTCGGAACTATGCCAATCACAATTTGGAACAAACAAATTGAAACTGTGGAAGAAGGTTTTTATGAAATGAACAACATTTGTCACCATGTTTAACAAATTAACTGAAAACCTGCTGCACATATTTCAACAAAAAATTAAGGACGCAAAAGAAAAACTAAAAGCGAACAAAATAACCTGTGATAACATTCAAAGCGTAGACATAACAGTGTTCTACAACTGCGTCACTTGCACCAAAAAAGTCCAATTTCAACAAGGTTCACCTATGCTTAGATGTATGAACTGCCGATCAAGATTTCTCATCAAAATTCTACCAAAACTACAACACGTATTTCTATCAAAAAACTGACCAAACAATATGGTATTCATTATTCACTTCCACTATAGAAGCAATGATAAAAAAATACAACAAAGATAATAATGAATTGGAAACAATAGAGGAAATTGATGGGGATAAACTATGTCAAGTTATTTTGACAACGACAGGTATTAAATTACGTGTCAGTAGCACAAACACTGTTCTTACATTTCCTTTACTTAGCTTTATTATACTCAATATACTGTCGTGACGTTTTTGTTTTTCAAATTTTTCAGGGTTTTTTTTTAAAGTCACATTGTTACATTTTTGTAGTCTCCTTAATTGTTACTACCCTTGAAGTCTAACATGATGTAAAATTTGTGATATGCGATGATAGTCATTACGCTAGACTAATACTGCACACTATACCCATTTTTCTTCTATGAAAAACTTCCAGTAGGTGTATCACAACCATCGTTGACTTTCTTTGTGACAATAGCTTTCCAGTTTTTTGCCATCATGGCAACCACAGTTTCTCGTTATTTTTGTCATCAGTTCCTGTCAAAAGTATACCTTTATTATGTGTGCAATACTTTCATCTTAATTTCGGAATTCCTTTACGTTTTTTCCCTTAGCAAAAAATGTTTACCGATTTGACCCTTACTCTAATTTGCGAGGAAAAGTTGTTTAGCCAAGAAAGTACTTTCTTGCTTCATTCATCTGACCAATGAATTCATTGAAAATTCTATAAAAGGAAGAAATCTACATTATGATTTCATTATTCTCCAGAAGAGAAATATGTATTAGTCTCTCATGGCTGGTAAGTGCCGTATAATTTTTTTTTAAAGAGTTTTGAAGAATCACAAATGAGCGAGATACGAGCAAGTAAGTAGGTGAACCTTTACCGGAAGAGAATAAAAATCGCAAAGCGAACCAACCATGAAGCTTGTATTTGTACTGAGATATTACAAAGGATAATTACTTTCAAACTATTAATACAAGATCAATGGAAAAACAACAACTGAGCAAGAGAAACTATAACATTGTAAGTGCTTCATCATTTTAATGCTAAAAATGGTTTTCAATAATTCAGGGGGGAAAATTCCAAAAAGCCTTATTTCAAATAGGGCATGACCTTAATAAACTAATGAAAAGCTTATAGATTTTTACCTTCAATGAGAATGTTCAAGCATGTTCAAAAGCATAACTGCATAAGCTAAGCTCAACCAACCAGAGTCGGAGGCTAATACTCGTAATCCTTAGTAACACTTTGGAGAAGATCCTGCTTCATCTTCTTGCCTGTTATACATCTTGCTACGGATTGATCGAAATGGTGAATTGGTCTCAGTTCCGTGAATATACGGCACTCAGGAAAAATGACATCGCTTGTTGACTTTGCACTTCTTCAGTTCTTCTTCAGGTCTTTCTTTTGACTTTAAGGCCATTCACGTTTTCTTCAAATTCGGCATCTTTTATAATAATGTAGCCGTAATTTTGTGAAATACCTTTTAAAGCTGGCAATCACACCACACAATGAACAGGGGTTATAATTTTCATTTTCTTCTCATTCGTGAATGCATGAATGAATGAATCGAGTTCGTATGGCAGAATTTCTTCCGGGCTCGAGACTCATTTTTAGAGTAAAAAAAAATCCGTCAACAAAGCGATATTCTCTTCAGTTTTCTTTCAGTTGTTTTCATTTCCGTGTCCTTTGGGAAATTCATTGACTGAAACTAAATCTGCAAACCGTCAAATGCCCGAAGACGACACCATGACTTTACTAGTTTTCTTTTTGAAAGCAGACAGGGAAAGGCGGGAAATTTCACTAGTGAGGGAGCGCTTACCATTTGTAATGGAATAGGACAATTGCACGATGACGACATTTGACTATAACTACCAGAATTCATTTCGGTTTTGCTTTGTTATTTAAATTTGTCAATCCCACTAAGGATTAAAGAACAACAGCCTTAATTTGCACAAGAAAACAAAAAACTCAAGGATTCTGGTAGTTGTAGTAAAATGATGTCATCGTGCAATTGTCGGTGATTGGTCATATGATGATTTTCACTGGTGAGGAAAATATCCAACCAATCAAAGTGGTAGCAATTTTAACAGACAATATTTATTTTTTAAAGTAAAGTAGCTCTCGGTATAAATATACAATAAAATCATACTCCACTTAACATGTTGAAAGTCAATAGTCCACCTCTTCGAAACCTTTCTGGCCTTCCATGAAGCACCCTTGAATATATATCTTTTTTGATGAGGGGGGGTGGGGGGTATATGTTGAGGAAAAGTGGTCAGTTTCATGTGTTATCCCACCCTGTAGGTTAACCGTAGATCAAAGGGAAGTGCTGGAAGTAGTTGAAAGAGGACATAATGTATTCATTACTGGACGGACCAGGACTGGAAAGCCGTTTTTAGTCAAGGAAATTTTCCGAAGCTTGTCAAGAAAAGGGACAAAATGTGAGGTCATCATTCTGTTCCAGTGGGATTGCAGGAACAGTTTATGGAGATATCACCGCAACAGTGCCCACAGTCCATTCTTTTTATGGTTTGCAAACCGCGGATTTGCCGTGGAGAGATGTTGTAAATCGCGCAACTGCTAGTAATCAAGTTCGGGATAAAATAAGAGGGGCAGGATGCATAATCTGGGACGAGGCGTCGATGTCGAGTAGACGAATTTTGGAAATTGCAAATTACATTCATCATGATTTGGCAGAGGAATGTGACGTAGCAAAACCGTTTGGCAGAGAGCAGATCATAATCGTTGGACAGTTCCTTCAACTGCCTCTGGTCCCGTATGTGTTCGACCAGGGTAGGCCAATGTATGAATTGCCCTTATGGTTGTATGTCGTGCCTCACCGGTATGAATTAATAACTTTAAAGCGCCTTACCACTACAGAAGAAAGTTTCATTAAATTTCTCCAAGAAATTCGTTTGGGCACGTGCTTACAAGACAGCTGTGAGTACAGTTAAAGTCTTGCACAATATCTAACTGATCCTTCAATTACCGAAGCCACTCACGTGTGTTTTAACTAAGTAAGCGTACAGTTTCACAACAGTGATATCATGCATAGCATACCTGGAGAGTTTCTAAGATTTGAGGCCACTGATGAAGGGGATACCATCGGAATGACGTGCCAAGCAAATAAAACCATCCTTCTGTAGCCAGGGTGTAAAGTCATGTTGTTATGGAAAGTGAGCTGATGATCTGAGGAATGGAACATCAGGAATGTTTTTAGAACAGTCATCATCGACATTTTTAAGATTGCAGGCAAAATAGGTCTGAAGAGAGAGACATGGAACAATCGTCTCACCAGAGGGCGTTTGGTTGGTTCCAGGAAACAGTACCCTGTAGTGGCCATGTACACCATCACCTGTCATAAATCTCAAGGTCGAACCCTACCAGCAGTTGTCGTCCATTGTAGCAAGGAATTCGTACCTGGGCTGACTTATGTTGCATGTACCCGTGTGAAGAGCAGTGAAAATATACAGGTCATTGGTTTTAAAAGATCTCATTTATTATACCCAGTGAAGAAGCCATAAACTTCTGCGAGGGTCATCTTGAACCAGGCATAGATAAGTGCTGCTGCAGAAATCATCGTCTAACCCAGGCAGAAATCACCGTTTCAGAAGGGGAGTTCACGTTTGTTGACAGCACCGAGGAGTCGGATCCAAGTGCAGTGAACATGGAAGTGGAAGAGAAAGCAGCTGCCTACTTTGAGCGGGGAGAACCAGAAGACCAGGTTATTGATCTACAGACCATCTATTCTCTTCTATGTGAAGATGACGAAGGTGCAATCCTCAGCATACCACGAGACTTTGATTTTAAATTGTTTCTCATGGACATTACAATCAGAGAGCCTTTATCAGATTTTGCCAGACAACAGAATGAACAAATCGAAAAATTGATGAATGATCACTTGGATTTGATGGGTCGGATCTTGTGGAGCAAAGTGGCACAAATCGTTTTGGAAGAAAGTCTCAGCAACCCTGATGCAGATATTACAATCTCACGTAAACAATGGACAGTAGACACTCATCAGCTGTATTTGCTTATCACAAGAGGGATGTCATGAAATACATTAATCATCATGGATCATGTGTATAAAGGGTTTAGTTTTATTGTTTGTCTCACGAATGTCGCTATGATATTGATCGCAACGTTTTGAAATGAGGGAGTTTGTGGACGATCGACTGATATCTGTCAGGGTGGATCTCTGGGATCCTTTGAAAGTCAGAATAAGCCCATCAAATCTAGTAAAGAGAAGCAGATGCTGAAGACAGTCAACAATAGGGACATACAGCAGACATCTTCTTGTATCAACGGACCATGACAGATCTGCAGGAAGTACAAACATAAGAGCTTGCACCCGCAGTTCCTCTTGCATTAGCAAGAGAAAACCAAACAAGAGAAAATCAAACAAGAGTACCAGGGGCATAGCGTCCACACTTGTGCGTACAGCTGAAATCTGGAAAAGAAATTTTCAGTTTTTATTGCCTTATAGCATTTGTCAAAGTTACCACAAAATAGGACCGATTTCTAAATTTCGAATTATACTGGCGTGTGTGTTTTTCCTGTACCTTTTCATTAATCCATAAACAAGAAACATTATTTGGCTTCCTAGACTTGTTAACTCTCTAGTTATTTTAGGAAGCCAACACCCTTTCAGCTTTAATTTTTATTTGATATTAATGTCTTCGTTTCTAAATATAAGAGCTAATAAAGTTGTTGTTGTTGTAACATAATGGTGGAGTGAAAAGAAAGAAAAAACTGCGGTTCTCACCTTTCCCCAATCCCCTGTCCCACGTTATTTTTGAAGGAGAGGTTACCCTTAAATGCTGTGTGGCTTCAGAAATAATTGCACTCAACTCAGATCAGGAATATATACATGCAACATGCAACTGAAGTCACTAAACGTGTAAAGCCTGAAAATCCCAAGAAACAATTAGAGGATCCGATGACTATCTCTGCGAGTTGAAATACACAATTTATCACTATATTACGTGACACAGTTCTATCATGGCTCGAAAATCAATACATATTACTTTAACGTGATCAACAAGACCACTGAACAAAGTGCAGATGCTGAAGGTAAGTTAATCCATTATTTCCTGTTGTGTTCTTTGTTTTAATGTAGTTTCACTGTAAGTTGTTGATCTGCTAAAGTAACAAGACACGAAGGATATAATTTGCAGCATAACTGCAGCCTTGTGTGGCTGTAAACCTGTAACCTGGTAGCCCTGATTTAATATAGGGTTACAGTCACTGCACCTTCCACAAATGAAAATTAAACCTTCCAGAATTTAATTTGATTCACCGGGAGGTGGTGAGAAATTGGAAAACAATGGATAACATGGGTTATCAATAGACCAGCAAAAAAAGAGTACACAGTCAGTGGGTCATATTGTGATTACTTCTAATCTTTACTTGTTCATCTTCGTTAGAAGCAGACTCTCCGAGCATCAATTTTGCCCAAACCACTTCTGCCACACAAAGCAACTTTTCCGAGGTTATTGCAACAGCAAGTGCCACAGGAAGGTCGACGGCAAGCGCCCCAGAATATCCTGATGTTTATGGTGACAGTAGAACAGCAAACACGTTGTCTGATAGTGAAAAAACATGCTTATTGGAGGGTAAATGGGAAAGTAGTGATCTTCACAAGTACATTTTTCCGTCAAGGTATGCCCCTGAACTTACATAGGTCTGCTGCACTATCGCTATGTTATAAATTCCAATAAAAGACACAAAGTGTTAATGCTCGAAAATATAAATACATGTACTGAGTGGACGACTTGCTGCAGTGTTAACGTTCATGTTTTTTATATTTCCATATTCCATCTTTCAGGAGAATCAGCCAAAAAAACCAATGTTCAACTCAGACTGGATAACGCAGATGTCATGGCTTCGATATAGCCCTTCAACATATAGGGTATATTGTTACTGTGCTTTATTCGGCTCTCAGTCAAACTGCTTTCACTCAAACGATTGGTCAAACATCTGGTCAAACATAAGCAAAGTAATCAACAGGCACAATGCAAATAGTGATCATCAGTCAGCAGTTGCCAGAGGGCAAGCCTTTCTAACAGTACAGCATGACGGTAGGCCTAACGTTTCGTAGCAACTGCACGAGCAACTAGTTAAGCAAATTGAGAGAAATTAGCTTTTAAGTCTATCGCTGAAGTTCTCATAATGATGGGTAAGCAGAACATCCCCATCAGAGGTCACGTTCCAGAGGAGAGCAACTTTCATGCCACCCTTTCTCTAACTGCACAGCAAAACTCCATCCTCCAAAATCATCTTGAGCAGGCTGGGCCAACAGCAAAGTACCCAAGCCCCGAAATTCAGAATGAGCTATTGGACATTACCGCATCACAGATCTTAAATGCAGTTGTGCCCGACTGTAAAAGAGCTCAGTGCTATGCATTTGTTGCTGATGAGTCCACATATATTGGAGTAAAGGAGGAAATTTCATTGTGTGCTCACTTTGTTGACAAAAAGGAAGATGGTAAACACTATGTCCAGGAAGAATTCCTAACTTTCGTCCATGCAGAAAATGGCACAAGTGCAGATTCTCTGACAGCGCAGTTCTTGGATGCCCTGAACAATATTGGTTTCTCTGTTGACAAAATGAGAGCATAGGGATACGATGGCGCCCGTGTCATGAGCAGGTACATTAGTGGGGTTGAACCAAGAATTTGCAGAGTCAACCCGAAGGCCGTTTACATCCATTGCCGTGCCCATGTGTTAAATCTCTGTATTGTGCATGACTCTAAACTCCCAATTGTTCGAAACATAATGGACACGATGCAGGCGGTATCTTTGGCGTTCAATTTCTCAGCCAAGTGCCTTCTTGTGTTTGAAGAACAACTGGGAAACAGTGCAGCTGTAGGGGAAAAGATGGGCAAAAGATCAAAGCTAAAGATTCTTTTTGAAACGCGTTGGGCATCTCATGCTGACTGTTTAGATGTGTTCGTCACCTCATTCGAAATAGGTCTTGAAGTTTTGATGTCTATTGCGAGGTTCTTTATTGAAATAATAAAAGAGCTATTGAATAAGTAATTATGGTCATTGACTAGTACGTGATGGAAGCTCAACCTGAGTTCATTTCAGATAATCTAATTTCTCTCAGGTTATTGTGGATACCCTTCAGCAGTTGAGTGAAGGTGGCGACAGCAAGGCCAGGGGATTATACACATCCATTCTTAAATGGGACTTTATAATAACATCTGTTGTTCTCCAATACATGTTTTGCAATACTCACCGACTATCAGTGCATTTCCAGGTCAGTTTTACGCCCACTTAATTTTCCTATACTGCTACTTGCTTCTCTGTGGTGTTAAGTTCGCTGTTTCAAAACTACGTTAGGTCATTATGTAGTGTATTTTATGGCTCTAAGTAACTGTATATAAATACTCCTTGAGTGTCAATACTGTTGCTGTTTCTACTGCCTTTCTAAGATGCTGACTTTTCCCTGCAAGAGCCCCGATCTGGATTTACTGCAAGCGTCTGAAGAAGCCAGAGTCTGTGTTTCAGTCTTGAGAGTGGAGAGAGGTGATGACGGTGTATGGGATGCCTTGATGGAAAAGGCGACATCAGATGCAGAAGTGTACGAAATCCAACCATGTATACCCAGGACAACTCGAAGGCAAGAGCATCGTCGAGGCTAACACAGTGTCTTCATACTTGAAGAGGAGCCTGTATCTTCTCTTTTTAGATCCCCTCATCAAAGAGCTTGATGAGCAATTAGTCAAACCTCTCCCTGGCTTCCAAGCGCAGCTACTCATTCCTGGTAAGTTGTATATATATATATAAGTAATAAGAAGGCTGCAGGAAAAGGTGACAGTCAGAGAACAGAACAGAGAAACGAAGCCATGGGCCTAAAAGCTACATATGTTGTTTACCCTACTGACGGCAGAGAGATCACTGCTCCTATGCTATAAGCATAAAACAACATTAATTCTTTAATTCTATTTTCCAGCGAAGCTCATTGAGCTAACAGAAAGAGCCATGGATGATATCTACAGCTACTTCGGCAGTGGCATGGACATCTGTCAGGGCGAATTTTAAATCCGAGGTCAAAAGATGGAGACAAAGTGGAGTGGAATGGGATGGTAATGTGAAGCCAAAGACTTTGGTTGAGACTCTTGATCATGGCAACCCTCAATTCTATCCTGAACTATATGTTGCTGTGATAAGATTGTTGATGTATCCTGTGTCAACTTGCACTGCTGAGTGTATTTTCAGCAGTATGAAGCCTTTACGAAGTGCCATGATAGACGGGACATTAAACTCTTTAGCAATTTTGCACATTTACAACCACAAGGACTTTGACATTGATGATGTTATAACAGAGTTCGCCGGTCTGAAGGGTAGACATCTTGCCCTCTGGTTGTAAACCCCCTGTTTTTACCATTGTTTTACCCCCTTTTTTGTTGAAGGTTACCGAAAACCTAGAGATGGGTAAAATAAACAACTACTGCATTTTCCGTCCCATTTATTTGTAAAAAAGTTCCGCAGAAATAGTTGGAAATGGCATTTCCGAGACCCTAAATTTCAAAATTTTCTGGGAGAGCATGCCCCCACACCCCCTAGTTTGGGATGCCTTCAGCGCTCCCAATGTCCGCACTGTGCGTACACCTTCAAAATCTCACACTACACCCCTAAGTACCTTACTAGAAATAGACAATCTCAACCAAAGCACATTGTCTGTTTTAAAACGTGATCAAACACCTTACGTTGTTGACCTTTTGGCAATAATTCAACTGTTACCTAAGCGAAAGACGAAAACATTTGGAGAACTATCAAACACAGTTGCAGGAATAATTCTTGGCAAATTCCATTTTGCATACCACGTCCATGTTGTTCCAGACAAATATGATGAAGATTACATATTATGAGAAAGATATATGAGAAAGATAAAGAAGATCTCAGTGGAGAGCCATGGAGATTCAGGCGTTTACCAGCTCTAAAGTCAGCGATGGTGAGACATTAATACCGGCATCACAAGATAGATCATAAATAGAAATAACCAACATATTGACCCACGAAGACATCATTTTCCTCAATTCAGACAATGACAAAGAAGAAAATAGAATGCATGGCAAGTATTTTGCAAATTACACATTAGACACCAACTGTGTATCAAAGAGGATCATAATGTTCTCTCCAAACGGAGATGTTGCAGTTCTCTGCTGGCATCACTTCATTCACCTTCAAATTCAAGAACTTTGGTTCCACACAGAGACATGAAAGAACCAAAGATTCAATCCTGTGGGAATGCTGGGAATGGTCAAGGTGTAAGGACGTGTCTTCGGTGCTCCGCCTTTTGGTATGTTATTCTTTGCAATTCGATGCCTGCAAAAAGGAAAGACCGACCCAAATCTTCTTCCTCGGATGCCTTTTCCCCCGAGGAAAAAAAAAGTAAAGAAGTCAATTGTTCTACGAGCACAAACAAAGCAGAGGACGAGGTACTAACAGCACTGTCAATGGCTGGCGATCTTGGGAAGAAAGTGGACATGGTATTAACAAATTGCAAAAGCTAGACAATACTGAATCGCGTCTGGATAATTTACACAAATCAATAGCATCTCTCGAAGAACCTTTTGCCTTTTTGGAGAAGGACGTACAGAACCTGAAAGACAAGACGGAAAAAAACGAGGACAAAGGTAGACGAGCTTGAAAAGAGTGTTGAGTTCCGTGAGGTGGACATAAGTGATATGCCAAAGGATCTTAAAAAAGTCCAGCATGAAGCCGAAGAGCTTAAAATGCAACTCCTATACCAGGAACATTACAGTAGAAGGGAGAATCTTATGTTTCCTGGAATCCAGGAAAATGATGCGCCGATCGACACCGAAAGAGAGACGGAGAATAATAACGTGGAGAATACAAAAGAGGTGATTTATAATTTTCTGCAGAAAGAGCTTGGCTTCGAGAATGCCCCCAGTAGATTCGAATTTCAGCGGATTCATCGAGTGGGGAAAAGATCAGGTAAGAAGCCCCGTCCTATCATTGCAAGATTTCTCCGATATTCCGATCGGGAAGAAGTTCTACTACGTGCAAAGACTTCACTCAAAGGGAAAGATTGTGGTGTTTTAGAGGACACGCCAAAGGAACTTTATCTGTTAAGAAAGGCGCAAATGAAGAAACTTCAAAACGCAAAGCATAATGGCAGCACAGCCTTTTTCAGCAGAAAGTATCCGGACAAATTATTCATTGACGGTAACTACGTTCCTCAAAATTAATCTATTACTGTTTTTCCTTCTTTCTTCCAATATTCATGGGGCTAATATGGAAATTTTTGCTGTGGTAATTTTCATTGTATTTTGTAGCACCTTGTCACCTAGTGCATGCTTTTTACAATAGTCAACGCCTTTTCTTTTGTCCTTGTTGGCTGCAATTTGTAAAATTAACTGCTGAAGTTTTATGATTTAAAGCTCAAGGGTAATGGTGGTCACTAAGTAGGAGTAATCACTTTGCATCTTAAAAAATGTGTTTATGGCGGAGCTCCAACCAAATAGTCGTCCGGATTGTACAAACAATTAGGAGCACTACCCAAAGGTCTTAGTTCGCACTAGCTCATAACTTTCCATTCCTGGTGAAAGAGCCTGTTTACGATAGTAGTGTATTGTTTATGCTCTCTCTGGATGATGTCTTTGCATCTGTATTTTGTATTTGTATCTGTTTGCTTATGTTTGTTTGTTTGTCTTTTGTGTCAATGCCTATTTGTAGTTAATATACCATTATGCTTTATAGATAAGAGTTCACGTCCTTTCTTAATTAATAGCTTTAGAAGTACACAACGCTGGGTTGTCCGTGGTTCCTTCTGCACTCCAAGTACTACATGTTTAAGGTTAAAACTTCGCTTTAACCGTTAATTTGAAATTAGTTTCTTTAAACGTAAGGGGCATTAGCAACTTTACTAAACGTTGTACAATTTATACATGGTGTCGTAAACAGAAGGCTGATTTTGTATTTTTGCAAGAAACGCATTCAAAGAAGGAGACAGAGGTGCAGTGGAAAAATGAATGGGGTGGCAAAATACTTTTCTCACATGGAAGCCCTAATTCATGTGGGGGCTTTCTGTCTACGGAAAGGTTACTCTAATCAAATCACTTCTTATACCTAAGATCGTTTACACTTCCTCTTTGTTACCTACTCCGGAACACATTGTCAAGGATTTAAATCATATATTATATAAGTTTTTATGGAAAGGTAAAGATAAAGTAACAAGAGCGTCAACAATAAATGATTATGAAGAAGGAGGCATCAAAATGGTGGATATTGAAAGTTTGATAAAATCTCTCCGTCTTTCCTGGCTTAAACGAATATTTAGTGAAAACTCAGGCGCGTGGAAAAACTACCTTAAATACATCTTGAAAGATTCTGGAGGTCTAATGCTTTTTAAATGCAATTATAATGTTAAGGATCTTCAAATTACCTCTACCCTTTATTTAGAACTACTTAAATGGTGGTCGGAACTCCGAGAAGATAATGCTCTTAATAACGATTGGCATTATGTAATTTGGAATAATCGAGACTTTAGAATAGACGACAAGCCCTTTTTCTACAAGAAATATTACGACATTGGTATCTGGGAAATAGGAGACCTACATTTTGATCTCAGCAATACGGAATCCTACGAACAGATTGCAAAAAATGTTAAAAAGACAAACTTCCTTGAATGGACTAGTATGAGACATTCAATACCAACCAACTTAAGAGTTCTTAATCGCTCGGATTTGAGTACCCTTAATGCAATACCTTCCTTTAAAATCAATGGCGGCGTTTTCGACATAGCATAAAAGAAATCAAAAGATTATCCTTTTTTGATCAAAAGAAGGCTTGTCTCCCAAATTATGCACAAAAACTGAAGTTGGATTTTAATCTATCTAATGATGATCTCAGAAAGGCATTTCTCTTGCCCCATTCTATCGTGTTTGAACCTTATGTCAAAGCCTTTCAATTTAAAATACTTAATTCTATACTTTTTACCAACTCAAAGTTGTTCAAGATTTGGTACAGGACAGACAACTTGTGCTCTTTTTGCAAAAGGGAATCAGAAACTATTAGACATTTCTTTTGGGACTGCCCTTATTCGAATTCATTCTGGAAACGTGTTGAATCATATTATTTTGGGTTGCGAAAACAACTAGTTCACCTAACATTAAAGGAAATTTGGATCGGCTTTTTATCTTCTGAATGCCCCTTGCTTAATTCTGTTATACTTATAGGGAAAATATATTTATGGAGTTGCAGAAGGAATGAACTACTCCCAACCATAAACAGTTTTATAGTTAGAATAAACGGTAAATATGAAATAGAAAAATATATTTTCACTAAGAATAAGAATTTACAAAAATTAATGGGCAAATGGACTTTCTAATCTAGGTAGTTTTTCTTCTTTTGAAAAAATGATTAGTTTCTTCTTTTTTGAATAGCACTTGTAAAATAACAGTAGGCATTACCTTGTGTGGTAATTGTGGAATTGCACGTGTGCTTAGGTGTGTAGTAAGTTTGTGCATGTATGCTTTGTGATAATAATTGTAATTGTTGCACTTTGGAATAGCAAATGAAATAAAAAAAAGATTCAATCCTGTGCGTAAAGGTCATTGTGAAAGTTGCTTAAGATGTCTGCACTCTGTTACTGGCAATACCCTATAAACAGGATGTAACTCCATGGCATTGGCAAGAAAGGAGGGTTCTATCAAATGCAGAAACATAAAGTTGAACTTGATGGGCTAAAGAATCCCTGTTCAGGAGGAGGAGATGGTGGTTTATGGTATTGCAGTATTGGGCTTTTTTTCATGCAGTATTTCGGTATCATCTAGCTCTGCAGTATGCAGTTTTTCATCATTTTGGATGACGGTAATCAGTGAAATAAGATTGTTCACGGTATTATGGTACCGTTTATTTGCGCATGGTCATCATTTACTGTGTGGCAATTTTTTATCAAGAGGAGAAAGGAGGCGAACATTATCCCAACAAGAATAAGTTTAGATATTGGGTTTTGAGAATTGAAAAACGCCTTGTAAAGTTAAAAGAGAAAATTTTGTAAGTTTGCCTTTTACTGGTGTGGCATGTGAGACAGTCGAGGTAGTTGACCCCTGAGAGACTGATGTGCTAGACTAGACTCACTTATCAAAACTCGCACGAGACATGCATGGAAAGGGATTTGGTTGGTTTGCTTTTTGCGTTTTCAATAGTTATTTCTATTGGAGTTAATTAGCTGTTAGGTCGACCTACCAAAAGTTTGAATGAATGTAGTTTACTTTTCAGTAAAAATTTGCGAACTACCAAAATATTAAAAAAAAGGAACTTGGACAGCAGCAAACTTCCTACAACAGAGGACAGTAGGGAGCTTTAGCAGTGAGGACAGATTGAGTGTGGTACCCAAGAAATCAACTTCGGGGAAATTTGCCTAGTTGTCATTTTGAGGGAATTGGAATAAATGCAACAAAGTTTAAAAAAACGAGAATTCATGTAAAAGTGACATTTTTGCTGCCATCGCTGTCTTTAATGCTTAAGCTCCCTATCATGTCATGTGCTACCGATCACATCCTATCACTGGAGTCACCTGATGGAAATAGATGGGCTAGGGATGACATGGGAACTCTTGTCCCTTTGTTGATGGGGAAAAGTCCTCCTCCTCAGAGTCTCCTTGAACTAGTCTGCAGATGCCAGAAAGGACACAACTCAAGATGCAGCTGCCGGAATGTTTGATTGTTCTGTAACGCCACCAGCAACTGTGACAATAAGTATACCAACAATTTCCAAGAGGGTGATTACGATGAAGAGGAGTGAAGGTAGTTACCCAAATCCTCTTCTTTTGTTTAATATAAAAACACTCTCTACGAGTAGACAATCATGAACGATAAACAAAAGTAAAGGAAACATATTTTGACATTTTCTAGGGACTTTGTGATAAAAGATATAGTGAAGTCTTAAGACCAGCAGCCCCCAAGTTGAATTTTTGAGCCGAGAGCAAATATCACATCATGACACAATCACGTCACTTCTCATACACGTGGTAACGTCAACATTGTTATTGTCTACTTCCTTTGAAATTTTCATCGACCTAGGCAATTTAGGTCCCGAGTCATAGGCAATCAACATCTTTACCTTAAGACTTAAAAAAGTACGTTAAATAAATTACAGAAATAGAGGGTTTAAGGTGCTGTCACGTGACATTGCACATGTGGCATGCTCCACTGCCAACCCAGTTTTATAACAAAGGTGTGAAGATCATTCCTTGGTAGCTGAAAATTTGTTAGCTCTTCAAGTAAACAGAACCATTCTAGGACCCTTTCTCTCAGCATGGGCACCCAGACTATGATCATCTTGTTGGTAGTGGGGATGGCCATGTCGTGTCATTGGAACCAGATCCAGATAATAGTGTCTCTCACCAATCTTGTTCAGTTATTGACAAACCAAAGGCGAAAGGTTAAAAGCCAAAGGAGGATAAAAAGCAGAGATCAGAATTGCGAGGTAACCAAGGAGGGCTTTTGGAAGATCAAAGACAGCAGTTTTTGTCCCTGGTAACCGTATGTAAAGAAAGTTCTTTGCAAAGGACAGCCCATATTTAGGAAAGTCGGGCCTCTTTGGACACAATCGATGCCACTGTTTGCAAGCCAGTGAGAAAGCCTCCTCATCGAGTACCTCTTTATCAGCAAGAAGCTAATGATTATCAGCTGAAAGATTTACTAGCTACAAGCAGGATGGAACATCTCAGCCCTTGGAGCAGTCCAGTGTTAGTTGATAGGAAACATGACAGAACATACTGTAAGTGTATTATATAGACTACTGTGGACTTATCTAGTCGACAAGAAGGGTCCCATTCCACTACCTGGTATTGTTGGACCAGGTTTTTGAGAGATATGTGCAAAAGCAGCTTGTTCAATACTTCAACCCGTATTTGTCTAAGTTCTTGTCAGCATATAAAAAAGGTTACAGTTGTGAGTCTGTGTTGTTGCATCTTATCGAG